AATATTCTGTATTAATACAGAAAATTATTATTCTTTATAGTAGTTTAACCCTTTATAAATATTATTTTCTTTCAAGTCAAATAGATTTAGAATATAATAGAAAAAAATATTAAGAAAATTAAAAATATTTAATCAGCAAGAGACCATCTATTTATTGTAAGGGATATATAAATCTTTTACTAAATTAAAGTGATAGTAGTTACAAATTAATTCAGTAACGAAAAAGAAAATAAAAAATTATTATTAAGAATAGAACTCTTTTAAAAAATATTTAATCAAAGCAAGAGACCATCTATTTATTTGTAAGGGATATATATCTTTTACTAAATAAAGTGATAGGTAGTTACAAATTAAATTCAGTACGAAGAAAATAAAAAATATTATTAAAGAATAGAACTCTTTTTCGGAACTCAACAAATAAAAAATTATTATTAAGAATAGAACTCTTTTCGGAACTCAACATATAATAAGAAATAAATTATATTAAAAAATTATCAATTTGAATTTCGAATGTCAACCCATTCTTTAATTGAAAATGTGTAATTTAATGAAATTTAATGTTGATAGACAAAAAAAATATAAAATAAAAAGGATTATAGTCAAGTCAATAAATGAAAATTACAAAGCAAATAATGGTAGGATCTAATTTTGTTTCTCTATTTTTCTAAGTTATAAATTTAAAATAAAGAAACAAATAAGTTAATTAATTAATAAAAAATGTTACATAAAAGAAACGTATTATCACAGCCAAATAAACCAACAATTTTCTCTACAATTATATAGAAAAGAAGAGACTTTTTTCTTTTTTTATTATTTATTTAACAAATCTTTAGATATATTCAATCAAATAATTAAATGTAATTTTTCTTTTTCTTTTGTCTTAACCACAGGTATCAGAGCCCACTAGACTAGAACTAAATCATACTCACACAAGGTCAGTCCAAGAAAGAATAAAAGTGCTCATATCGAGTATTTGCTTCATCAATGAGGATTGAACCTTCAACCTCATTTAAGGGAGAAAAATATCGAATCATTCGTCTAAATACTCGTTGGTATAAAATATAATTTCGAATTGACTACGGTTAATGATATTTAAGGATATTCTAAATTTCATTAAGGGTAATATCAAAAATCCTATTATTCGCTCTCATTTCTACTTTTATATATAATATATATAATAATATATAGATAATATAAATATAGATATAGACTAAGGGACAACATTAAATATTTTGTCTGTAGGCTTTCCTATCCAATTAAAGTCCATCTCCTTTGTAGGATAACTTGCAAAAAGCCCTGAGACATAATAAAATAACATCTAATTTTAAGAAGCAAAATGAATTTGAGGAATCAAAAGAAAAGAGAATTTTAGGAGAAGCAAAGGGACACATATAAGATTGAATTCGAGATGATAAAAAATATCGCGTGAAATTGGAAGAAAAGGAATGATAACAGAAATGAAAAAAAAAAAAAAAAAAAAAATTAAAAAAAAAAAAAAAAAAAAATTAACACATAGAGGAGTCAAACCTTAGTTACCAAGTCATGTGGCATGCTTCACTACCAATTGAGCTAAGTGCTCTTATCCAACATTTTAATGTCTAAGAACATAATAAAGAATCATCATTGAATCTACTTCAAATTGGAATTTCATTAATTGATTATTAATTAGGTTATGAATTTCATTTCCATTATACCTTGATATAATTTAGGGTGCAATTAAAATGAGATTATATTGTAATTACGACTAATGTAATTTCAATTTATCTCAATTAGGATTTTCAATTCAATGCAACTTAACTAGAATAAACTAACTGATTTCAAATTACTATTGAATTTCAAGTTATCTCATGCGGGATTTTGCCTTCAATGTCTCTAAATTAGAGTGTCCATGTGTAAAATGATAGGTGATTAAATTAAAATTATATATAATTATTGGTGAATATATGAAGAAATTTACAATGAACTAAGGTATGAGATTCTATTTAGTTATCAATTGAATGAGCTCCAATTAGGGCACATGGTGTTTAATTAAGGCTACTTTTATTTTTTATAAAATAACTTGCAGAAAAATATTTTTCATAATTTTCATTGCTTGGAACTTTAAGAGAAAATAAGTCAAGAAAAATAAGTTGTTGGTCAATGGAAAAAAAATTAGTAATTAAGAAAAATGACTTACTTTTGTTTACATGAAAAAACATTTTCCTAACTTCTTTTATAATTCAAAATGAGTCTTTTTGATCCACCAAGAAACACTGCACCTGTTGAAGAGGTGCTATTATGGCCCGCAGTCTCTTTGAAAGTATTAAAAATGTGCTACGTGGCTTTTTCTTTGAAATAAATGTTCAAATAATTTATTGATAGGCCCATACTATTTAAAATATATTTTACATGATACTTTTTGCAACATGATTATTTTAAAATTATCATTAAATTATTTTAATAATATATTTTTTAAAATACGTTAAAGCTTATACCATTTAAAATATATATTTTAGCAATATATTTTAAAGTAATTATAGTACTTATATATTGTTAAATTATCTTAACATGATATATACAATATTATTAAATAATTTAATTAAAATAATTAAATCACATTATTAGACTAAATTAATCATCATTATAGTATTTATACTATGAGAATACATTTTAAATAGAAAATCTAATTATTAAATTTATCTTTTTAAAAATACGTTTAAAGCTTTATACCATTTACAAAATATATTTTTAGCAATAATATTTTAACAGTAATCGTATCAGTACTTCTTATATTGTTAAATTATCTTAACATTGATATATACAATATTATTAAATAATTAATTAAAATAACTTACAATCACATTATACTAGACTAAATAATCATTCATCTATAAGTATTACTTATACTATGAGAAATACATTTTAAATAGAAATCCTAATTATAATTTATCTTTAATATAGATTGCTTATGAATAACTTATAATAAATGTGTAAATGCAATTATTTATATGATGAAAAATTAAAATTTTTTAATGATATCAAAATTATTAAATTTATCTTTAATATAGATTGCTTATGAATAATATAATAGGTGTAAATGCATTATTTATATGATGAAAAATTAAAATTTTTAATGAATATCAAATGTTGAAAAATATTTTCCAATAATGTTTTATGTAAAGCCAAACGTCTAAAATAATGCGTTTTCCTATAAAATATTTTTTAGAAAAATTATTTTTCAGTAAGTTATTTTTCGGAAATAAACGAACCCTAATTCTCATCACATGTGATTAAAATTGAAAATATATGTGTTTATTTGTAAATATATGAATCAATTTATTACTCTCATGATAGAAATGATGGCTAATTTGTGTAGAGCAATATTTCTTTTTCTTTTTTTTATTAATTGTATCCTCAACTTAGCACAAGAGACTTAACTATTTTACACGCATATTTAGACTTAGGTTATTTACTTTCCCCACAACATCATTTATTATTCTCTTAATATTTTAATTATTTATTTTTAATTTTCTTATTTTCACCCGCACGACCACAATAATTCAACTAAGGGTAGTTTAGTAATTTAACATTACTAAAATCTGAATTATTGGAAATGATCCGGATCATTGTGATCTAACAACCATCATTGTGATCTAATGCCAGTAAGTACCTGACACTCCTAATAATGTGCAAATAGAGAAAAATGGTGCTCAGATTTTGAATTTTGGGTATATGTCATTAAATAAGTTTTTGGAATGAAGAGAACATCAAATATTAGACTTTAAAACAAACAAGTAATTAATGCAATATTAGGGGTAAATTAAAAAATTAAAAATTTTTTTGTTAAATAAAAAATTTTTTATTTTTTAATACATGTGCAAATTTAATTATATTCTATTTAAATGAATTGGAAACTACAACCAATTAAATTAATTTCTTTTCAAAATAATATTTTTATTTTATTTTTTAAGAAATCAATATAAAAGATAATTTGCCACTATTAAATTTAGTCATATATGTTTCTATTTCTATGGTCCTTCGCACAGTACTTTTATATAATTTTTTTTATTTTTCATTTTAAATTCAAAACTTATTAGTAGAAAAGGTTTATATTTAATTAAAAAAAGGAAATTAATATACTAACTAATTAAATTAAAAACTTTTAATGGCACTATCCAAACATGCCCTAAATACATGTGAGCAACTAATATTAGGCATGATTGATTCATTGAACAGTAAGTTCCAATTTATGAAATTGGCGGTTCAAAATTTTTAATATGTTAAATTTGAATCGATCCTTAAACCGTTAGTTTTGAAGTTTCAATTTCGATTCCAGTTGTTTTCGATGAATCGACGGTTCTGATTACAGTTTCCGATAATATGTATATTATTTTTTTTAAATAAAAATTTGATTTTAAGACTACGTAATTGTTTCGAAAAAATTAATATAAATTTTTAAAAAATTGATAAATTTTATTTTAAATAACTTTTAGAATGCTCATAAGTATATAAAAAATAAAATTAACTAATTTTATAAAATAATCAAATAAATTATTTTTTTTTCTAAACGTTAACAGAATAAAAAAATTAAAAAAATGTTAAACTCTCGTTTGTATCGAATAATTTTTTAAACTAAATATTTCACTTTTTTTACTATTTTACTTTTTTAAATTTTTAACTTTTTTAATAAACTGTATTATGCACTAAAAGATAATTTAAACTCTTTTAAAGCTAAATGATTACAAATTTTAAAAATAAAAATAAAAACTTTTTTGTTTAAATTGGACTGCAATCACAGTTAATCCTCGGTTCTGGGCCGATTTAAATTTAGATATTTTCACGTGAATCTTAATCCGTATTTGAATTACTGGTTCTTATTTAAAAGTTTTGAACTGATATTTTTGGATCAGTTTTAATTCATCTATAATACGGTTTTGATTTTGATTCGAAACGAATCGGTGTCCACGCCAAACTCGCATTACCGTGTTGGAATTGAAGCAAAGCAACCAGGAAAGAGACAGACTTGGAAAGGAATAATTGTGGAAAAGAAGGAAAATAAAAAATAAAAAAAAAAATCAAGCAACTATTCTCTCTTTCTCGCTCCAATCCACGTACCTTCGCTGCACCTTCTACTCTCCACTTTTTTGTCGTCTTTCTTCTCTTTTTCGTACCCTATCGCGAGTCCCCTCTCTCTTTCTTCCATTTGATGACTTCTTAGGTTCAGTTCGTTTCTTTCAAAGCCAACAAAATCAAGAAATCATGGCATCCCCGATTGAAGAAGGTACTGGATTTCGAGATCAAAATCGATTCTTCTGATAATTGGTTTCTTTTATGTATTGGGTTTGAAGAGTTCTGTTTTTGGATGATTATGCTTTAGTTTGTTTTCATTTTGGTTGGTGAATCTAGAGAGTATCTATAACTACTATCACTTCGATTCTAACTAAGAACTTCACTTCTGCTGCTTTCTGGAATATTTTCCCTTCAAACAAACGGATGGATTATAAAATGCTTTCTGGAATATTTTCCCTTCAAACAAACAGATGGATTATAAAATTATACTTTTATTGATAAACGAATTTTAGTACTTTTTTGTTTTTACTCGAGTCCTATATCTGTTTGGCTTCAAGGAAAAGTGGTACTGGAGAAGATGGGCCTATTTGCTCAGTATGTTAATATGAATCTAATTCAGTGAGAATCTTATGGAAATTCTGTGAGAAATTTAAGAGTAGATAAAGGAAGTTCTAAACCTGAAAATTTTATTTTCTTCTGTTTTCTTTTCCCTTAAAACAAAAAGGGTAAAATGCATTCTTTAGTTATATCAATTCTGTAATTGAATAATTGTTGATTAATGGATTGTGCAGAGGGAGAGAGGGACATAGAGAAGGGATTGATGACTCCGCAACAAAGCCAAAACCCTCTTGCAGAACCTTCTCCAACGCCATCACCATCCTCAACATCATCAGCTCCAGCCCTAGTTTTATCCAACTCTGGAAAAAGGATTGATCAAGCAGGGAAAAAGAAGTATGTAAAACAAGTGACTGGGCGCCATAATGACACTGAGCTTCATTTGGCAGCTCAGCATGGTGACCTGGCTGCTTTGAAGCAGATTCTTAATGATATTGATTCACAGTTGGTCGGGACATTGAGTGGGGAAGATTTTGATGCAGAGGTTGCAGAGATCCGGGCATCAGTGGTGAATGAGGTGAATGAGTTGGGAGAGACAGCTTTGTTTACTGCTGCAGATAAAGGACACCTTGAGGTTGTAAAGGAATTGTTAAAGTATTCCAGTAAAGAGTGCATTACGAGGAAGAATAGATCAGGCTTCGATCCTTTGCATATTGCTGCTATGCAAGGACACCATGGTAATCTTCTCGAGTTTTTAATATTCTTTATTGAAGTTTTTGATCTTTATTTATTGTTAATTTTTCGAACGGACAAATTGATTTTGGAGGGATATGTGAACTAAAGCATCTTATGGTTAAATTAATTTTTGCACGATAAATTTTGCAAGATGCTATGTGAGGTGTTGATAAACCTAGCTTGATCGCTTAGATATTTTGGTGAATCAATGAGAAGAATCTAATTAGTGTTATATCTTACAAGAACGAGTCTGAACTTTGTCCAATCAATGTTGTTTAGCAACTCTTAGACACATTGGACCACGAAAATCATTGTGCCAATGTTTTGTTCCTTTCTTTCTTTCATTATTTTTTTTTTGTTTGCCATGAGATGATGCTTAATAATGTAGTATAAGATAGTTGATTTGATGTTCTATCCTATATGATCGCAGTACTATTGATATTAGACACTGGATCTCTCTGGGCCTAGAAGTTGAAATAACAACATCACCACTGTTTATAATTAGTAGAAATAAGGTAAGCTAGCTTTCCGTTCCCCGAGAAAGGGAGGAGTTAATATGAAAAAAATAATAATTGAGAAAGCTTTCTTGCTGTTGTTGTGAGAAACTACAAATTGAATGTGTTCAAATAATTTTTCAGGTAGTATTGCCTAGGTTAAATATTTAATGCTACCACATGAGTTATGAGTTATTGTTGCAAATGATGGCTTTGGTTCAGTTTTAAGTCACATGGAGAACAGGAGTTTCATTCTGAAAGATAATGAATGCACAGAAGTGGCCTTCCAACCACATGACTATACTTGCACTATTGGGGGTTCAAGTTTTTGGTTTTTTCTGATGTTCCTTATGCAATTATCAGGACTTCCACTTTGAGATCTCTTTCCATCTTTCATTCTCTCTCAATGAGCAACTAGGACCAGTTTGGTCACAGTATATGTTGCATTATAAATTTAATTGCCAGGATGAATGCTAGATTTAATGTTACCAGCTGTAGGAGTTGTGTTCTTATTATAAACAGTTTTCAATACAACCTAGGAAAGCACTCATATCAATTCTTTTATTGCAGCCATTGTCCAAGTGTTATTAGATCATGACCCAAGCCTAAGCCATACATACGGGCCATCACATGCAACCCCTCTTGTATCTGCAGCCACAAGAGGACATACTGCAGTAGTAATTGAATTGCTGTCGAAGGATGGTAGCTTGTTGGAGATTTCTAGATCCAACGGGAAAAATGCATTGCATTTAGCTGCCCGACAGGGTCATGTAGATGTTGTAAAAGCATTGCTTAGCAAGGATCCACAATTGGCACGGAGGACTGACAAGAAGGGGCAGACTGCATTGCATATGGCTGTAAAAGGGCAAAGCTGTGAGGTGGTAAAATTGCTTCTCGATGCAGATGCTGCTATCGTGATGCTTCCAGACAAATTTGGTAACACAGCATTACATGTGGCAACTAGGAAGAAGCGGGTGGAGGTATGACGTTATCATTTTCCTTCTCTTAGAACTAGAAGTAATATCTGCCTTTGTTGCAGTCTGATGTTCATTGTAAGTTCTATCCTTGAAATTGTCAAGGTCTCTTTTTCCTATGCACACGCCCGTGCTTTCTGGCATTTTTTTATAGTTTACTCACATCTTATATTTGAATTTCTTTTCTCATTACAGATAGTTAATGAGTTGTTATTACTTCCCGATACCAACGTCAATGCACTGACAAGGGACCATAAGACAGCCCTTGACATTGCTGAAGAGCTTACCCTGTCAGAAGAATCATCTGAGATTAAAGAATGCCTTTGTCGCTACGGTGCTGTTAGAGCTAATGAACTCAACCAACCAAGAGATGAGTTAAGGAAAACTGTAACTCAAATTAAGAAAGATGTTCACACCCAGCTTGAACAAACCAGGAAGACCAACAAGAATGTTCATAACATTTCTAAAGAGCTGAGAAAACTACACCGTGAAGGTATCAACAATGCTACCAACTCAGTGACAGTGGTGGCTGTACTTTTTGCTACAGTTGCTTTTGCAGCTATCTTCACTGTACCTGGTGGGGATAAAAATAGTGGGATGGCAGTGGTGGTGAGCCATGCTTCTTTCAAAATTTTCTTCATCTTTAATGCTATTGCTCTCTTTACTTCATTGGCTGTTGTGGTGGTTCAAATAACACTTGTTAGAGGTGAGACAAAAGCAGAGAAAATAGTGGGATGGCAGTGGTGGTGAGCCATGCTTCTTTCAAAATTTTCTTCATCTTTAATGCTATTGCTCTCTTTACTTCATTGGCTGTTGTGGTGGTTCAAATAACACTTGTTAGAGGTGAGACAAAAGCAGAGAGACGCGTAGTGGTGGTGATCAACAAATTAATGTGGTTGGCTTCTGTGTGCACGTCAGTTGCATTTATAGCCTCATCTTATATAGTGGTTGGCCGGAAACATGAGTGGGCTGCTGTTTTGGTTACAGTTGTAGGGGGAGTTATAATGGCTGGTGTTCTTGGCACGATGACTTACTATGTGGTGAAATCCAAAAGGATTCGATCAATGAGGAAGAAGGACAAGCATGCACGAAGGAGTGGATCCACCTCATGGCAGCACTCGGACTTCTCCAACTCAGAAGTTGATAGAATTTTCGCCCTTTAATGTGTGAAGATTAAAACTTTTGGCTAATCTTATGATTGTAGAGCAAAACAATGAATGAAACTGTTGTAGTTAAATATAAAAATGGTGTCTCCTAATATTTCTTTGATGTTAAATATTGAAGCAAACAAAGCTACTTTGGTTATAAAATATAAAGATGGTGTTTCCTAATATTTCTTTGACGCATGCTGACAGATTACTCTCTTAAGTTGAGCTGAAAAGTTACTGAACTTGCAATGCCTCTGATTTGACACTATCCTACGGTTTGCAAAAGGATTGCAGAAAGGCTCAGGTAAACCAATCCTTCCCGTAAGGCATTTCAAATCATTCAAATACTATTGAGGTTGATGTTGCCGTGCTTTGATAATTTCTATTTACAAGTCTACATTTAGGATCTGACCTCATGCACAAATTTATCCTTAGAAGTTTATGCGATTTGCCTTATGACACGTTTAAGTTTCCAGAACTTATCATGACTCTACACTTTCATATTTCAGTAATAACTATACCCCACGTCTAAATGAAATAACTTTGTAAGAGTTTTATCGTGACTCTGTACTTTTACATTTTATTTTGGTGAGGGCATAGTTATTACTGAAATGTGAAATTGTAAGAACATGATAGGTCTTAGCAAATTTGAGAGTGCCACAAGACAAATCGCATAAACGCATAAACTTCAGAGATAAATTTATGCATTTGGACTTTTAGGATTTAGGTTTTAAGTCTGTTTGGCATTGAGGTTGAAAACTGCTTTGTGGAATATGCTTTATCTCATCAATGATTCAAAGCTCATCTTTTTCTTTTTTCATTTCTCCATTTAATCTAGTTGAACATCACATGAAAAAGGATATTTGTTTCTGGAAAAAAGATTTTCTTCACGTGACAAGTTTTTGGCTCTCTTCTTTTGGATATGCCTAATGTTATGACTAGTGTCCCAAATGCACTTGATCTAGACACAGATAGTATTATTCATATGTCAAATAGGTCAACTGGACGGCTGTGCCTACTAAAATAATTGAAAAGTAGAACATATTCTTGAACCAGCTCAATTATCTAAAATTTAAAATAGCCATAATTTGGTATGGTGCACTATTTCATCATCACCTTAATTAAATTATTTGATTCAAGCAATAAAATAAGGCCCGTTGGCTATCTATTATACCAGATTCATTCTGCTTAAATTGCTGTATTTTTTTGCAAAAAAGACTTTATTTTGATTTGCAAATTTTATAGTATTTTCAAATTTTTTTAAACCACTAAATATTTTAATTTATAAAATTACATTTATTAAAGAATTATAAATTTTATTGAACACTTTGATTTTGCAAAATTAGTGTATGAAACTTTCTAACTTAAAATTAGATTGATTCAGTATTATTTGGAATAATTGTACTTATTAATATATTTGTAAGGGGTTATTTTTTAATTTTAAATCTAACAATTGATGAACTCATTCTTATATATTTTTAATTTTAAATCTAACAATTGATGAACTCATTCTTATATAGGGTTATTCTTATAATAGAGGAATCCAAAAGATTATAAAATATTTAATAATTGTATGTTTAATATTCGATATTAATAAGGATATTTATTTACCTTATATAAATTTAATTTACGACAATTGGATCTAAGTTTTTTTATTTATAAACAAAATTTATGTCTGAAATTTATTTGTAGGCGAGAGTTAGCATGGGAGGCTTATTCATAATTATTAATGCTTGTAAAAGAAAACTTTTAAGTTGTCTGTTAAAAACTCTACAGATGCATAACATATAAATTAAGTTTTACCAATGCGAGTTTAATTTAAAATTTTAAAATTAAATTCAAGCAAATGAAAATCTAAACTGGATATTAACCCAAAACAAACCAAGTGTACATATTTATTACTGTAAATTCTTAGTGAATATAAGAAACGACCCGAAAATTTAATTTCGTAGAATTTTCATTTAAAAACTAAATTTTTTATTTCAACCAATGAGATTATACCAGCTAGTATTTTATTATTACCAATGAGATTATACCAGCTCGTATTTATTATTGCTAAATTGCGAACTCCGTTAAACCAACTTCGACTTTTTTTTGAAAGACAAGCCGAAACTCAAAACCCCAGCAAATTGGCGCCAAATCATAGAATTAGAGACGCAAACCGATTTCGAACTCGAACCCGGACATGGGTCTAAGAAGCTCTTAAGAATTCTCACTTTCTTTTTCTCTTTCTTGTCTCTATTTTTTTTTCTTTTCTTCTTCTTCAGCAGCGTCGATCATCCCCCTCTCTTCTCTCCGTTTTTCCGACGAACAGAGAACCGCGGCCGGCCCCCTCGCCTCGCACGGCCTTCCTGTTCCCTTTCTCCGTTTTCGTTTCTGGGTGAGCGCAAAACGTCACCAGCGAAGCTTGGGGACTTCAGCCCTCGATCGAGATTAGTCCGCGTCTCCGTCCTTCCCTCCGAGCACTCCGAAGGTAAGCTGATGTCCTCCCACTTCTCTCCTTTAGAAATTCATTTTGTATAGATTCAGGCGATTATATTCGAAGGAATTGATCAAAATGTGACTTAGGGATGTTGAGAATAAAAATTGGGAGTTTCCGTTCGATATTGGCATAACATCTTGTAGTAGTTGGACTATAGAACTGAGTTCTATATGAAATTCTGCTATGTTTTGGCGTTAAAGATTCACAGTTCAAGGAACCATGGGTACATCGGCCACGCTTAGACGGTGGCGGACAGCGGTGGCTCCTGTGACCGGGGTTCCCAAGAGGCAGAAACATTGCCATTTGTCTGCAATGTGACTTTCTGCCCTAGTGCTCTGAATGTCAAAAGTGAAGAAAGTTCAAGTCCAGCGCGGGTTAAACGGTGTGAGCTATGAATATATAAATCTAGTTTTACTATCTGACATGCAATTGATGATCTGTGGATTGACGTAATCATGTTAGGAAATTAGGGCTTGCAGGCTACAAAATCAAGGAAGTCTTATAACAATGAACTATACGATCTAGAAAGGTTTAATTAGCTTAGTTAGCCAAAGTATTAAATTTGGTTAGTATTAAATAAGATTATATGGATGAATCTTCTATGAAGTTAAACTAATAAGGGTTAATATTATTAAGTAATTGTATTGTTAATTACTGATTATGATTATTAGTGTATTTTGTTTTATATATGATATTGTTAATTGGATGATATGAGTTGCTAATATAATATGTAAAATTGGGTAAAGTATGACCTGTTGTTGTTCTTATAAGCAGCAGCGAAGGTGAAGCTAGAGCCATTGTATATAAGTTAATATATTGATGAATGGTTTGATTGTAGACCTTGCCATAAGTAGAAATTATATTTCTATGGCAAGACAAAGGAAATTTATAAAGCCTATGTTTAAGAGTGAATCAAGTTACTTAGCAGATATAAATATTGAATTTTTATTTAGGTTAGCATTGATTCTTAGCGGCTAGTTTAGAATTTTAACAAATGTATAAATATATGTGGTTTATACCTTAAGCAAGGATGATGAAGTAAAGGCTCGACAGGGAGTTTATAATGAATAGAGGCTAAGTAATAAGTAACTATCAAACGAAATAGTTGAATTTAACGTTATATAGATGCAAGTTTTATCTTATAAAGGTACATTTATTTGGATAATTCAGTTAGAAGGACAATTAACAATATCAATTCGGAACATGTTGGAGGTTATTATGAATTTTTGTAAATTTATTTGGTTAAACGTTGACATGCTTGTAACTGAAAGAGGATGGGAACTTAAATTCGTTTGATTGGCACGACGGAATGACTGTGTGCATTCTGATTGATAAATATATACTAATATTGTGAAATATTTGAGCAGTGATAGTCTACATTTTTTAGGGATGCGGGTGCATTGCCAGAAATTTCGATAGAACCTAGATCAGTTTTAAAGTTTTAATTAATAACATAATAAATAAGCTTATTTAGATAAATTCTATAATTTGATACATAATAAATATAGTGCTCTGATTATTTATTATCTTTATCATTCATTTAATTATTTACATATTAAGAATCTATACAATTATAGGATATTATCTAGTCTATACATGTTAAGAACCTATACAATTATTACAATTAATGGAATATATTTTCTGCCTAATTGTCTCCTGATTTTATGCCTAATCTGTCTTGCTAACAATAATTATGTGAAACTTGTATGAACAGGGCAATATACATTTGTTATCTAAAATGCTGACGGAAAGAAGTCGTCTCTGCTGTCTTTGCGCTATCGTTGTGCTTTTGTTGCTCTCACCCCAGATTCGTTCAAATAGTCGTTTTCTCGGTTCGCTCCGTGACAGTAATGCAAGCCATTCATCTGTGGTTTACCACCAGCACTTAGAAGCCGATAGGCCCGAGGTGAGTTTTCTCCTTAACAGCAATGACCATCAGCAATTTCAACCCGCGCCATTACCAGATAACGCAGAGTTTAATTTGGCTCAGAGCTTTGAAGCCGCACCTTTACCAAAATAGCCAGATAGCGCAGCGGTAAGCATATTCTTGAGTGCTTTTTCCAAGTCGCGTGTTTGTTGCTCGGCTTTTTTATTTTTTACAATCATGTCATCAACGTAAACTGCCACTGGTTCTCTTATTAAATCTTTGAACATATGCATTTTTTAGTTCAAAAGGCATGACTCTATAACAATAGGTTCCCTTGTCTGTTATAAATATTATTTTTTCTTCGTCTTCTTTGTTCATCTCTATTTGATGGTAAACTGCAATTGATGTCATAAAGTGAATATGACGGGTCTGATGATGTTCTTCTTGGTGATGGTACTGCACATCCAATCACACACACTGGTTCTGCCTCTCTCAAAACCTCTTCCTTTACTTTTGACAAATGTGCTGTGTGTTCCTGGACTTCATAAGAATTTAATCTCTGTTTATCAATTCTGTGTCCAAAATAATGTTGAGATTGCTTTTAACCCATCTTTATTTAATGTGAAGGATTTATGTACGGGGAAAATTCTGGTGGAAAGAAAGCCAAGTGATGGTGTGTATATGTGGCCCTCAAATGCATCCTCCATGTGTCGACCGGAAGTTTCGAACACTACGGCTCTTACACACTCCGTTTGGCACAAGAGGCTTGGACACCCTGCCACTCCAATTTTACGGTTGCTTAGTTCATCCATTAAATTGCCTTTTGGTATTGATAA